ATGTTTTAAAATTATGTTTCAATTCTAGTTATTTACATCATACGTATGCATTCATGCAATAAAAATGAAACATAAACATCATTTCGGAACAGGAAATCTCATTGAAATAATGTGGTTTTTACTTTTTAAGAATCAATACGGTCTGCCAACTTGCCATTACTCTTTAGTTGACTTGACACAGCAATGGGCAAGTTGCGCTATTCACATGTTGACATTTGAAAATTCTACTTGCTAAAATTGCTTCACAAATGGGATGAATTAGCCTAATTAGCTTGTTTTTTTATTAATTTACCAACAAAAAAATTAAATCGCAACCGAAAATCTAAATCAACTTTAACTCAACACCACTATTAACATATTATCAATAAATCATTCTTACACATCACGTCAACTTTAGTTCAGTTCATCCACTCACAAAAAAATCAGTAAAAATTGGTTTATCTGTACACATCATATCAACTTTAACAAAAAAATCAGTAAAAATTGGTTTATCTGTATACAAACAAACACGAGTGTGTTGTTATATAAATAAACTCAATCCATACTCAAAATTTAACTCAACCTCACTATCCTCATTATTATCTATATAATTAAATAATATCAAGCAATCATTCTTACACATCATATCAACTTTAATTCACTATTCATCTACTCACATAATTTTAACTAACAATCACTTCACATCATACCTGTCATACTTATATATCAAATCAATTAACTTTAATTAATTTTTTTTGAATATTATTTTAATATAAAATCAAAATTCCACTAACAACTAATCATACCATCTTTTTCAAATTTAACCCTAGGTCAACAAAAAAAATTATTTTGAGCGAATATATTTGTATACAAACATGCCGTACAAACTCAAAAGCAAACAATTCAGTCACAATTGTAGGATGCTTGGATATAATAACTTTTGGCTTAAAATAAAAATTCTACTAACAACTAATCATGCATCTTTTTCAAATTTAACCCTAGGTCAACAAAAAAAAATTTATTTTGAGCGGATATATTTGTATACAAACATGCCGTACAAACTCAAAAGCAAACAATTCAGTCACAACTGTAGGATGCTTGGATATAATAACTTTTGGTTTTGTTTAGATTTTTTGGTTTGATTTGATTAATTTTAAAAAAAGTGGTATGGTTATTTGATAATGGGTATATTAAAATAATATTTAAAATAAAATAATTAAAGTTAATTTGATGTAAAACGTATGAGAAATATGATGTGAAGTGATGGTTAGTTAAAATTATATGAGTTGATGAATAGTGAATTAAAGTTGATGTGTGTAAGAATGATTGATTGATATTTTTTAATTATATTGTTAATATTGATGATAGTGAGTTTGAGTTAAACTTGAGTTATAAAGAAATTGTTAAGTTAAAAATGTAGATTTTTTTGAGAATTTTTGCATCTAAGCATCCTGTAGACGTTTTTTCGCTGCCTTTCCTTTGTTTCTTTCTTTTTGTTATAGGAAATATAGTGCTGTCTAGAAACCAGAGGGTTGACTGTAGATTAAAAAAAAAAAAAGTGAATTAAGCACAATTTGGATTAGTTAAAAACAATTTTGCTATGAAGTCATCGGATGGTTCCGCTTATAGAGTCATCCACAGTTATTCACAAATAATGTATTGATATGTGTCCTACAATAAATACATTTTGAACAGATTTCAATACATTAAGTGATGAATAACTCCATAAGAAAACAATCTAATAGCTCCATAGATTTTTATAGTTAAAAAATATTTAAAAATGTCAAAAACCAAAGGTTAATAATGTGCTGAACTACTGCTCAATGTCAGTGCCCAAAGCTCACTTTCAATTGAATAACAGAAATTAAAATAGGCCAATATTGTTACTTGTATCTTGATTAATTGGACAATATGTTTTGAATTCATAAATTCAAATGTTAGACACATATGGTCATATATATATATATATATATATATTTAATTAATAAAAATCATAGTTACACTATGAAATATCATAATTTTATTTATATTGTATTTTAAAACATAACATTGAAGTATAAAAATATGTATATTTGTTGAATAAATATGAACATTTTATAGTTATTTAGCCTAACAAACAGAGAGACATGCGTTTAAAGTTTAAACTAATTAATAGAAAACCTTGAACTTTTGATTAAACGGTGACAAACTGATTCCAAAATTATTCATTATATCAAACTATAAATAATTATTCAAAAGGTGACAAACTGATTCCAAAGTTATTCATTACATCAAACTATATAAATCGTTAATTCCTCCATATGTGATGCCGACGAGATTGC